TTCCGCGAAAGCGAGAGGACTCACACTCGGGGCTGGACAGTCACAAAAGCAAACACGACCCGGGCCCGTCTGGGGCGCCTCGGGGGGAGGAGACCGCAGCCCCCACAGGGAGAGACATGCGCACCCGGTCTCGGCACACACGCGCCAACTCGCGCCCGAAACGGCCGTGACCGCTCTGCGGCCGCCGCTCCCACCCGCGTCTTGTCCCGGCGAGGAGTCTGCAGAGCACACGACCGGCCGCAGTCGCTGCAGAGTGACCTGCATCAGTCAGGTCACGGCGGCCGGAGACACAGCGACCCCCTCGCCCCAGCTCCAGCCAAAGGGAAGGTAGCTAAGGGCCCCTTTGTCCCCCAGTGAACTGCGGGAAGGTTTCTGGGGGGTCTTACCCCCAGAGCCTCGGGTCCTAATGGACAACAGAGGGACTGTCCGCACGCCGCCGCCCTCTGCCGGGACACGCGGGTATGACACCGCGCCCGGAGCGCTTCGCAGGCCTCAGGAGCGCGCTTGCCGCCTGTCACCTCCTTCCTCTCCTTCCCGTCCTCGCCGGCCATTACAGAGCGGTCAAGGTGCCCTGTCGCCTCCAGGCTGTTTGGTGGTCAGCCCCAGAACACGGGATCTGGGGGAGTCTCACCGGGTCCCCGGTGTCACAGGCTGAGTCAGAGACGCGCCGCCAAAGCCCGGAGCCCGTGGGTGGCCCCTGCGGGAGACAGTCACTGCAGCCCGGACACAGCGAACGCCCCAGCCCCCGCCGCGCCCCCACAGCAGCTGCAGCCGCTCCCAGCACCCCAGCCCGCCTTCCTGAGGACGCCCCGCGGCGGCATCCGAGCGACGGGCACGTCCGCTCACGGACACACGCCCCCTGCGCTTTGGGTTTGCGGCGATCTGGCCGCTGGCCGCAGGCCACGACTCCTGGGAAGTCACGGGAAGGGTCGGGCTAGCGCCCTTTTGTAACGGAAGCGAGCCCTGCCACGCGTGGGCTGCCCGGCCGTCCTGCGGCTGCCACAGCCCGGTCAGCCCACACAGGGGGACTCAGTGGCCGCGAGCCTCCCTGGCCAGGGGCGCAGCGGGGCGTTGGCCCCCTCAGCCGAGCGAGGTGGAGCCGTCTCCGCCCAGGCGCCTCCGGCCGCGCGCAGAGAGCAAACTGCCCGCGTCCAGGAGCCGGTCAGCGCCAGGGCCGCGCAGAGCTCCCAGGTGGGGAAGGGGCAGCAGCCGAGGCCCTGCGTTGTCTCCCTCGTTCCGGCAGGGGGCGGGCGCGAGCCTGAGCGCGTTCGGCTGCTCGCAGGCCTCGTGGTCCTGGACGCGCATCAAGCCCCGGGTGAACGCGCATTTCGTGACGGCAGAACACGACACCTGTGCTCCGTAACGCTCGCCAGGCA